GAATGTGACAGAACTTTCCCGCCAACCTAATACATTTTCAGCACTTCGCTGAGCTTGACTTCGGATCTCATTCAACCTTTCCAGGGTTCTTCGTGATCTCGGTAACACCACCAATAAGCCACATTCCTCAGTGTTCTCATTAAGTGAGAAGAGCTTTGTTTTGATCAACACCTTAACCTGCTCCACCTTGCTTACTCAGAATGAGCATATTCTTAATGTACTTGGTTGGAGGTGAGCTTTTGCGCTAATATTCTTTGCTTGGAACCTATCTATCTATTTGTTCTTATTGCGGCAGATGCTGCAGAGGTCTTTAGTTCAGTCTGTCTATGCTTTGTTACAGGGAATCGAGGCCCAACTTAAACTCATCCTTGATTATGCTGGCTGCGCCCTTTGGAGATACACAGGAAGAGGTAGGGTGGTGCTGTCTTGTGTCACAGATAGATTAGAACTTTAGCCTTATATAACTGGGACATTTCAGATGATCCGATTCCTTTGTCCTTTGCTAGACGCATTGTTTGAATTATGGGAAGAACGTGAGCAACTGGAATTGCCTGCATTTGACGTCATTGTAGCTCTTTTCAAGCTGACTGGTGAGCAGTGATAAGGATGGTTTATTTCTTCACATAAGGCTATGCCTAATTTCTCATCATATCAGAAGAACAGGTTAACAACTCAAGTGCGGATTCACTGAAGAAGTATCTGGACAGATTCCCTTATTGTAATGCTGCGGTGTGAGTTTTTTTTTTCTTTTGAAGAGCGTTTATTCTCGGCGCCACTGGGGAATTGGAGAATCCGCGGAAAGGACCAAGTGCGATCATACGACTAGTTGATGTGGTCACCCAAGGGGAAGTGAAAATTTGTGATTGCGAGGCTTCTCTCAACCGGACATTTTTTCGGTGCGAGAGCCCAGAATTGAAGGGAGGGGGAGGGGAATACGGAAGCAAGTACGGTGATGGGACGGCAAAAGTCTGGGACGGACAATTGGTGATCTCTGCCCACAGACGTTTGTGGAGAGTCCAGGATTTGAGAAAATGTGCGATTAAGACGAATGCGCGTTCCTAAGAGGGGGAAAATCTATCGGATCCCATCTAATCCTTAACCGCCTCTCCGGAACGCGTGTTCCCCCGCAGCATCAGCGTTTGCTTCTGAAAGGAATTTATTTACAACTGTAGGCTATTTACAGAAAATTAATGCGTTGTCTGAATCACTACATAGCAAGTGCATCCACAGTGAACAATGAGAAAACTCGTAATCTGTTCAAAGTACTGGGACTGGTTTTCCGGACGGTAGTGCAGTCGAAGCGAAGTGGAGACAAGTAAGCTCGTTACTACTGGGCCCTCATTTTATTGGCTCGAGTCATCTTGACGGCTGACATATCTTATCGTTTCAGCTTCGTTCCACTAAAAGTGTGGTTTGGCGCGGAAAGTTCTGCTCACATTCTTCAAATAGGCTTTTCTTTTTTATAGAGAGACGTGTAAGTTCGAAACTGTACAGCAATGTTACTGCAGGGTTCTTGCCAGTTTTTGAGCAGCTCATGGATGCCATCGCTTCACTATGCAGGGATGCGCGACGCGAAGTTGGATATCATCTCAATTTTGACTTGAAATCGGGTTAGAGAGGTTTTCTCGGCCACATAAAAATTGAGTACGGGAGGCAACTGCTGCCCAGTCAAAGCAGCATCATGTACTGTGCTACACCAGCCAAGCGGGAGAACATTTTCCCATGCATGAGATACGGCTCGAACTTTTTTGGACGGAGTGCGCTGCACTGTCATGATGAGGGCGAGCTGTGCGGACAAATTTTTCCCTCTGATCAATGGTCCGCTTCAGATCTCCTAGCTGCTTTGCGTACGCATCGACCGCGGAAGCAGCTTCTTCATCCAGCACTTTCACGACCCGCAGCTCCCTCAAGTCTGAGTTCACAGATAACCCAAACCTCACTGTCATCAAAACTGTAGGCTCCCACTTTGAAGCATTAGCGTCGTGGAAGGTTTGTCGCGGATAATTGCAGGCGGATCATTCTTTTCAGCGCGTCCATTATTTTTCATCTGCTAACTATCATGCTGCGCCAAGGTGGTGGAAGAAAGAGCTTTCAATACACGTTGACGATTACAAGTGAGCCACCGTGGCCCCTCACTTAGTTGAGTGGCCACGTGGGACAACCTGAGCCACCGGTGGCTCAGGACTTTCTCCATTACTTTTTGGGCTATTGCCGGCAGTCTCAATCGATCTTTTTCCTGCTTTCGAGTAACCTGTGTAAGGTGAGTTTCCAACAAGGATGAGCAAGAAAAATGTTGCTGCCCGCATGAGATATTTTAAAATAAAAATTGAAATTTTTCAACAAGCCACTGCTGCGGCAGAAACCTCCAAAATAGTTCTTTTTAGACGCAACCTGGGTTGTAGGTACTATGTCTGTCGGGCGTGTTTGGTCATGAACCTGAGATCTCATTTGTCATTGGCTCATATGGCGCCAGTAGGCGCCAGCCGCCAGTAGCGCCATTCTAGCGCTAGCAGTCTTTTTGACACCGAATTTCGATAAGAAAACTTACGCTAGGTTTATTTGACATCCTTGCTTCACGGAATATATCGTGAATTCCGAAGTTTGGGCGCCACATGGCCGCCAAGCGGGCGATCCACTTCTTTTCGTGGCAAGCGATCCTTTTGACACCGATTCCAGTGGGACCTCTACACCTAGGTTATTTGACATCCTAATTGTGCGGAGCCTTAAGCATCTTTGTGCTACTGCTTGTCTGCTGTGAGCAATATGCAAGAATGTATTGAAAGCGTCAACGTTGCAGATAAAGGTATTGGAATAAACTGAACGCGAAACAAAGGGCTGGTAAAAAGGCTGAGCGTGGGCGGCTATGGTTCTGTATGTAGCCATCGTATGAATAATTTGAACACAGTGCTCAGAAGCTAGAGAATTCCAGAGTGAAGAATTGATTCTTAGAAACGGGAGTTATGGTACACATGTTAGAAATCACGGTCGCGCTAAAAAGTGGGCGTGATCGCAGTGGGCGGGGCATGAGATGCCATCCAATGGGTCAAAGATGGTTGAAATAGAAGTCCCTGCACGATTGACTTATCATTTTGCGAAATTTGACCTAGCGGCAAAAAAGTGGTCCACGAGGGACAACCTGAGCCACCGGTGGCTCAGGCCGGACGCATGCGAGGACACGTCATCGTCCCACGCGGCGCTTTCCCGCGAAACGCGATTGTCGTCAACGTGTTAAAGAGAAACGTCTGGCAAGGACGGTCGTGCGATGGCAAAGACAAATCCTTTTTCAAGTGTAGAGAGAAGAAGCGCGCGAGTCAAGCGAGTGGTGCTAATAGAAAGACCACTTCCTAATGTATAGATGCTCACATTATTCCCAGCCAACCTAATATTAAAAGGAGAAATTTGTGACGAGCTTACAATAGAGTTCGTGAATTTAGGATAGGGCCACGCTCCGCCTTACATGTGACTGCGCGCCTCTTTTAGACATCGTTACCTTGTCGGCAAACCATGGGAAACACTGGCGCTAAAATCAAGAAGAAAGCGGTGGCCGTTCGCGAGCAGACCGTCACGCGTCCCATCCACTGCCAGAGTAAACGCCCCCCAGCAGTTGGAGAAACCTATTGGATGGCATGGTTGTTCCGCTATTGGTTCTCCTCATTTCGAATGGTGAGAGCGAGGTGATAAGGAGGATGAGCTGCCACCAACAAATTAGAACTCTTCCAACGACGCCCCTTCTTCGCCTTATGCACGCACAAGCGCGGTTTAGTGGGGGGGGGGAGGGTCTATATATGGCATTCACGGCAGTTTTCCCGCTTTTTTCAGTGTGGTAATTACCATCCTGTCATTAGTATATGGACCGCACAACTCACCACTGTTTAACGCGAGGTGTGCCTTCCGGTCAACTCGAAAAATATAAACATACGAGACTCACCTCTTAGTTTGAGGTAGAGGTAAGTAGCTTGTATTATTGTCATCATAATGCGATGACTCAATCTGGAAGCTCAGAAATCAAAGAAATGAAAGAAAATTTATATGCCTCATCGAGCGCGGCAAGCTTTAAGCGCGCGAAACGGATTGCCGAAGAAATTAGAAAAATAGCTCGGCTTCGTAAAAACCAGCAGTTCATGGTTCGCCATCAAGGAACAAGCACTGAATTTGCCACAGAGCACGAATCATGGCTAGTGGCGAACGGGGTCCCTTCTCAGCGCTTCCTTTATCGTACCGGCTTTCTTAATTGAATGGTGCATACGAGAATGGCGACCATGAACTGCTGGTTTACAAGGCGAGCTATTTTTCTATTTTTCTTCGGCAATCCGTTCTGCGCTTGAGCTTCCGCCGGCTCGATGAGCCAATAATTTTCTTTCATTTCTTTGATTTCTTGAGCTTCCAGATTGAGTCATCGCATTATGATGACAATAATACAAGCTACTTACCTCTACCCCAAACTAAGAGGTGAGTCTCGTATGTTTATATTTTTCGAATTGACCGGAAGGCACACCTCGCGTTAAACAGTGGTGAGTTGTGCGGTCTATACTAATGACAAGGATGTAATTACCACACTGAAAAAGCCAGGAAAAACTGCCGTGAATGCCATATATAGACCCCCCCCTCCACTAAACCGCGCTTGTGCGTGCATAAGGCGAAGAAGGGGCGTCGTTGGAAGAGTTCTAATTTGTTGGTGGCAGCTCATCCTCCTTATCACCTCGCTCTCACCATTCGAAATGAGGAGAACCAATAGCGGAACAACCATGCCATCCAATAGGTTTCTCAAAACTGGGCGTTACTCTAGCCAGTGGATGAGACCGTGACCTGGTTGCGAACGGGCCACGCTTTCTTCTTGTATTTTTGAGCTGCGAAAGTAATGTTTCCTCCATGATTGCGGACAAGGCTAACATGTCTAAAGAAAGCGGCATCACATGAACGCGGAGCGTGCCTATCCAAATTTCACGAAGCTCAGTGTAAGCTCGTCACAAATTTCTCCTTTTAATATTAGGTTGGCTGGGAATAGTGTGAAGCATCTTAATACATTAGGAAGTGGTCTTTCTATTAGCACCACTCGCGCTTGACTCGCGCTTCTTCTTCTTCTACAACATTGAAAAGGATTTGGCCTTTGCCATCGGCACCGACCCCTTCCAGACGTTTCCTTACACACGTTGGACGACAAATCGGCGTTTCGCGCGCAAAGCGCCGGCCGTGGGACACGATGCACGTGTTCCTCGCTATGCGTTCCTGCGCCTGAGCCACCGCGTGGCCCTCAGGTGTCCCTCGCTGCGCCACTTTTTTGCCGCGTAGGTCAAATTTCGTCCAAAATGATAAGTCAATCGTGCAGGGACTTCTATTTCAACCATCTTTGACCCATTGGATGGCATCTCATGCCCCGCCCACTGCGATCACGCCCACTTTTTAGCGCGACCGTGATTTCTAACATGTGTACCATAACTCCCGTTTCTAAGAATTTTCTTGGAATTCTCTGCTTCTGACACTTTTCAATTATTCATAGATGGCCTACAACGACACATAGCCGGCCACGCCCACTTTTTACCAGCTTTGTTTCGGGTTCAGTTTTCCATACCTTATCTCAACGTTGACGCTTTCAAATACATTCTTTACATATTGCTCACAGACAAGCAGTAGCACAAAGATGCTTAAGGCTCCGCACAATTAGGATGTCAAATAACCTAGGTGTAGAGGTCCCACTGGAATCGGTGTTCAAAAGGATCGCTTGCGCCAAAGTGGCGCCCGCTGGCGCCATGTTGGCGCCAACTTCGGAACTTCAACTGATATATTCGCTGACAAGGATGGCTCAAATTAACCTAGGTAGAGTTTTTATCGAATTCGGATCTGGGGGACGTGTCAAAAAGACTGCTAGCGCTAGAATGGCGCTACTGGCGGCTGGCGCCTACTGGCGCCATATGGCGCCAATGACAAATGAGATCTCAGGTTCATGACCAAAAAGCCCCGCGGCATAGTACTACAACCCAGGTTGCGTCTAAAAAGAACTATTTTGGAGGTTTCTGCCGCAGCAGTGGCTTGTTGAAAAATTTCAATTTTTATTTTAAAATATCTCATGCGGGCAGCAACATTTTTCTTGCTCATCCTTGTTGGAAACTCACCTTACACAGGTTACTCGAAAGCAGGAAAAAGATCGATTGAGACTGCCGGCAATAGCCCAAAAAGTAATGGAGAAAGTCCTGAGCCACCGGTGGCTCAGGTTGTCCCACGTGGCCACTCACTCATGAGCCACCGGTGGCTCAGGGTGTCGTCAACGTGTTAAGCTCTTTCTTCCACCACCTGACGCCAGCATGATAGTTACAGATGAAAAAATAACGGAGCTGAAAAAGATGATCCCCTCAATTATCGGACAACCTTCCACGACGTAATGCTTTAAAGTGGGAGCCTACAGTTTTGATGACAGTGAGGTTTGGGTTATCTGTGAACTCAGATTGAGGGAGCTGCGGGTCGTGAAAGTGCTGGATGAAGAAGCTGCTGCCTCTCAGTCGATGCGTACGCAGCAGCTAGGAGATCTGAAGCGGACCGTCGATCAGAGGAAAAATTTGTCCGCACAGCTCGCCCTCATCATGACAGTGCAGCGCACTCCGTCCAAAAAAAGTTCGAGCCGTACCTCATGTAGGATGGTTCTCCCCTTGCGCTGGTGTAGCACAGACATTGCTGCTTCTGACTGCAAGTTGCCTCCCGTACTCAATTTTTATGTGGACGAGAAAACCTCTCTAACCCGATTTCAAGTCAAAATTGAGATGATATCCAACTTCGCGTCGCGCATCCCTGCATAGTGAAGCGATGGCATCCATGAGGTGCTCAAAAACTGGCAAGAACCCTGCAGTAACATTGCTGTACAATTTCGAACTTACACGTCTCTCTATAAAAAGAAAGCCTAATTTGAAGAATGTGACAGAACTTTCCCGCCAACCTAAACATTTTCAGCACTTCGCTGAGCTTGACGTACTTGATCTCATTCAACCTTTCCAGGGTTCTTCGTGATCTCGGTAACACCACCAATAAGCCACATTCCTCAGTGTTCTCATTGAGTGAGAAGAGCTTTGTTTTGGTATCAACACTTAACCTTGGCTCCACCTTCGGCTTACTCAGAAATGCATATTCTTAAATGTACTTGGTTGGAGGCTGAGCGTTCTTTGCGCTAATATTCTTTGCTCGCCAGTCTATCTATTTGTTCTTATAGCGGCAGATGCTGCAGAGGTCTTTAGTTCAGTCTGTCTATGCTTTGTTATAGGGAATCGAGGCCCAACTTAAACTCATCCTTGATTATGCTGGCTGCGCCCTTTGGAGATACACAAGAAGCAGCTAGGGTGGGCGGTCTTGTGTTTGCACAGCTAGTAGATTTAGAACCTCTTAGCCTTATATAAACTGGAACATTTCAGAGATGGATCGAATTTTCCTTTGTCCTTTGCTGACGCATTGTATTGGGAATTATGGAAATGAACCTCGTGGAGCAACTGGAATTGCCTGCATTTGCACGTCCATGTGTGAGTCGTTGCGAGAGCTGACTGTGGTGAGCCAGTGATAAAGAAGCTTCTTATTCCTTTCACCATAAGGCTGTGCCTAATTTCTCATCATATCAGCCCAAAACAGTGTTACAACTTCCAAAAAGGGCTGTGCGGATCACCCTGAAGAGCCTATCTTGACAGATTCCCTTATTGTAATGCTGCGGTGTGAGTTTTTTTTGAAGAGCGTTTATTCTCAGCGCCACTGGGGAATTGGAGAATCCGCGGAAAGGACCAAGTGCGATCATACGACTAGTTGATGTGGTCACCCAAGGGGAATTGAAAATTGTGATTGCCGAGGGCTTTCTCAATCAACGAGACCATTTTTTTCGGTGCGAGAGCCAGAATTGAATTGGGATGGGGCACGGGGAATACGAAGCAAGTACGGACGGTGATGCCGGCGGTCAAAATGTCATGGGACACGACAATTTGGTGATCTCTGCCCAGCAGACGTTTGTGTGGAGGCTCCAGGATGAGGGAAATGCTGCGATTTTAAGGACGACTGTGCGCAGCTTCTAAGAGGGGGAAAATCTATCGGATCCCATCTAATCCTTAACCGCCTCTCCGGAACCGTGTTCGCTCCGCAGCATCAGCGTTTGCTTCTGAAAGGAATTTATTTACAACTGTAGGCTATTTACAGAAAATTAATGCGTTGTCTGAATCACTACATAGCAAGTGCATCCACAGTGAACAATGAGAAAACTCGTAATCTGTTCAAAGTACTGGGACTGGTTTTCCGGACGGTAGTGCAGTCGAAGCGAAGTGGAGACAAGTAAGCTCGTTACTACTGGGCCCTCATTTTATTGGCTCGAGTCATCTTGACGGCTGACATATCTTATCGTTTCAGCTTCGTTCCACTAAAAGTGTCAAGTTTTTACAGCTTCTGCGATGACGAGGGTCACACGACGAAGTTCCGCTCACAACTGGACAGCGTTCTTGACTCATTGGTATCACTCATGGGCGAGACAAGGGAAAGAATGACTGTACAGAACACAGCTCTCAAACACTTGCCAGCAATCGTGGATCCAATTTGTGCAAGTGGTGCCTATGAGCCTACAGATCTTTGGTGAGTTATGTCTCTTCTTCATTGTTTCCCTGCAGTTTTACATCCATGTGCCTTTCACCCTAACATTTTGCTAGTGTAGTGGTTAACACCCTGGTTCGGTAGGCGTAGCGCCAGGTTCGAGTCCTGCTGGGGCAATGTTCGTATGTACCACTTTTTGTGACCAAATCGGACACTTCTCAAACAATGTTTGTCTAACGACTTGATTAGCGAGATCACACTAGATACTACTGCAAACCGCTCGCCTACAGCCATGCCCACCTCTGTGTCTTTTTGCAGAAATTTGAGGCTTCAAAAAAAGTTGACAGTTGGGCTACTACGTGCAGCACCTTCCGCGGTGAGAAGCTCCGCTTACTTCACAGAAACTCCCCACTTTCGCAGCTTAGCTCGCATTTGCAGGTTATTGTCTCGCTCGTCACTCGGAACAAAAAAAAACAGGCAAGGTTGGTTTCAGCGAATGTCAGATCTCTCACTGGAGACTAACCTGCTCACTGGAACCAAGCCAAAAAGCCAATTTTGCGAAATTGAGCCGGGTTCCCATGAAGCGAGCGGGAATTTTCATTGAGCAGGGCTACACGTAGGGGCCTAAAAATGTGAAAATTTCCGAGGTGTCTCAAAGTTATGCAGAAAGACGCCAAAGCGGGCTTGGCCAAAGGGGCGGAACTTATGTGTCAGTGTATATGAACTCGCGTCTATGCGGCCCTCGAAGAGTGAAGAGTGGATATGAAAATGACGGCGTTGGAAAAAAGTATGAAAATTTGGAATTCCCAACAGATGCCCTAAGAAGTGTGGTAGTCGCCTGTGTGTCGGTGGGTGAGCTTATCTACCTTAGCTGTGCATGTGAAATTGCAAAAGCGCAAAAAAAGTCACACAAGCCGTGCTCATGAAATAAAATTGGATAGTCATTGCTGAAGAAAGAGTGTGGCGGTCTGGTCGTGGCTTCTTTTGAAAAATGTCTGATTCGGAATGAAAGTGAAATTAATTTTTTTCTCCGAGATGGGAAATTTCCGGATTTTCAGCAAATTTTTCCTAAGAGTCATGAATGGCTTCGGGAAGAACATCGTTGCTAGAGAGCGTCTTGGTCTAGTGTCGCAGTTGATAGATACTCATCTTTTTGAAGTAAGTAGAAGGTTTGCACCAGAACATTTAAAGTTTTATTCAAGCGTTCTTACTGTCAAACATGGGTTTTAGTTGCAAGCTTGCCGTGC